CCCCCCCCCCCCCCCCCCCCCCCGAGCTCCCTGGGTCTGGGGGTGGGGTCCTGCCTGGGGGACCCATACCAGCTCCTGCTGGCCAGCAGTGTGTACCCGCAATGCCCCTTGCTCCCCTGCCCCATGGGGGTCCTCGCAGATGGGGGGAGGCAGAGAGGCCCGGGGGGGGCAGGTAGGTCCTGCACCAGGGCTGCCTCTCACCCAGCTTCTGCCCCGGCAGCTCTTTGTGATTGACAACGGGGCAGACGACTGGCGCATTGCCATGACCTACGAGCGCATCCTGTACATCAGCCTGGAGATGCTGGTCTGCGCCATCCACCCCATCCCTGGCGAGTACAAGTTCTTCTGGACAGCACGCCTGGCCTTCTCCTACACGCCGTCGCGGGCCGAGGCAGACGTGGACATCATCCTGTCCATCCCCATGTTCCTGCGGCTCTACCTGATCGCCCGCGTCATGCTGCTGCACAGCAAGCTCTTCACTGATGCCTCTTCCCGCAGCATTGGGGCCCTCAACAAGATCAACTTTAATACGCGCTTCGTCATGAAAACGCTCATGACCATCTGCCCCGGCACCGTCCTCCTGGTCTTCAGCATCTCTCTGTGGATCATTGCCGCCTGGACCGTCCGTGTCTGCGAAAGGTGAGCATGGGAGGTGCTGGCCAGAGGCCCCAGAGGTTGGGGGTAGCAGAGGGAATGGGCCTCCTCCTCATGCGGCTGCTTGGGGATCCTGGGGCCAGGGCTGGATGGGGCAGTGAGCTCCCAGGGGATCCCCAAGCTGGCTGCAGGGAGAGCAGCTCTGTTCTTGGGGGGGGCGGGGAGAGTAGCTCTATCCCAAGTCAGGGGAAGGGGTGAGGGGTAGGTGTGTGCACCCACCGTCCTTGGCGTGCATCCTGGGGATCGGTGCTGGCATAGGCTTGGGGCTGTGCAGAGCAATGACTTGTACTGGTCTGGCCACAGCCTCTTGGAGCAGGTCTCAGGGAGGGAAGCAAAGGCTTCTGCTGGCAGCATCCTGCCCAGCAGGTACAAGGGCAGCTCCTCCAGGCAGGCTGCAAGTGTGGTGCCCATGAGGCCTAGGCTGGAGGGATTTGGGGGGCCTGGGCCATCCCAGTCTCTCAGCCCCAGGCCTACCCTGGCTTCGCCCTGCACAGAGGAGCTGTGGAGCGTGGCAGGAGCTTCGGAAGGTGCAGAGGAGCCCAGCGGCTTCCTCTTCCCCCTCCACACCTGGCTCCGGCTTCATGGCTTGCAACTGTCATGACAGCCCCATGGTCACAGACCCGGCGCTGGGCTGGGCTGGGCCAAGCATAGGGCTCTGGAAGCTGCTGTGCCCACAGGATCAAGCTGTTGGGGAGGCTGGGAGTCCCCTCCTTCCGCTGCTCTGCGTGAATGGCGGCTCATTGCACCCACCAGGAGCAAGCCGGTCCCTGTACCCTTGCCCCACCCAGCAGGCTGTGCTGCTGATTTAGTCCCTAGGGGCTGGGGAAGCCGTGCATGCAGGGCCCAGCGCTGGGCCCTGGCTGCAGCTGGAGGGAGCAGGAGCACTAGCAGGTGCCATGCTCATGGCTGCTGCAGCATTTACAAGCCCCTTGGCCCAGCAGGTTCTGAGGACCGTATGGCAGCCTGGGAGCCCAGTGCAATAGTAGCCGCCGTGCCTGGCACTTGTGAATCCTGTAGAAGCCCTGGCTGCAGCCGCTTCCCTGCAGATGGTCACAACAGTGGAGAGAGCACCCACGGTTGGAAGCAGCCAGTGCCACCCAGTCTGCCTGCGGGGGGGGTTCCCAGCATCCCCACAGGCAGCAGCTCTGCCAGCAGGCACGCTGTTGTCTAGCCAGAGCAGGGCCCTTGGCGTCTGTCTCCTCCATGGCCCCTTCAGTTCCTCTCTGGGCCCATTGTTTGCTGTGCTCTGCAGTTTCTCATCCTCTCGTGAGTGCAGGACCCGCAAGGGACTGAACTCTGGGGGCAGCTAGGTTCTCTGAGGTCATGTGCATGGTCAGTGAGGGCCTGGCTTCACCGGGAGGGTCAGGGGGAGGGATCCCTGTAACTGGTCTGAGCGGATCAGTGAAATGGTATGAAGTACCTGTGGCTTGGAGCGTTTGTGGGTCTTCCCCAGGGGCACAGGAGCAAGGGGCTGCCATGCCTGGTGGGCTGTGCCCTGTGCTGAGAGCACCCCTCCCTGCCTGGCCCACGTGCACCCCAGCTCCTGCCTTGGTCCCTGCATGGCCTGGGCCCATGGAGCTATGGCTGTTTGAAGGGGAGCTCGAATTGCTCCATTGCCCATGGTGGGTGTCTCCTGATGAAGCTGCTGGCATGTGGTTTATGGGCTGGGCGCCTTCAAACTGCACTTGGGGATGTTTTAATGTCTGTTGTAGCTGGGAAATGGCTGGACCAGGCTGGCAGCTCCCTGGGCATGATTGTCTGCCCCTGGGTGGGGAAGAGAAATAAAAATAGAATAAACAATCCTAATAATGAAACATGGACACAGTGCTGGTGAGCTCAGCCTGCTGCTGTGCTCTGCTCTGGCCCCAGGCTGTTTGAGCCGATGCAGCCCCCAGGCCCTGGGCAGGCTGGGTTCGCAAAGCCTGGGTCACAACCCCCCAGGAGGCTGCGGGCCTCCACCGCTGGGCTGGCTCAGTGTTCTCTTCGGGCAACTAGCCATCATGCAAGCTGTCCCAGGGGGATGGTTTGTCTGCCCCACCCCATGCCCCTCTTGGCGACTCCTGGCACAGTGGTCACAGCCATGCAAGGTGCTGCTCCCCAGTGGTGCAGCCATTTGCTCCCAGGAGCAGCACAGTGGCTGAGAACCCCTTGTGTGCTCCCTGCCCCCTCCCTGGCACCTTCCCCTGCACTCGCTGCTGGGACTCAGCTCCCCTCCTGCTGCAGCCTCCCTTCCCTCTTGTTCCTCTGCCCCCACCGTTGGCAGGGTGGGCCGTGGCTTTTCGAGAGGCAGTGGGTTGCTAAGCAACCCCCTGGCAGGCTGGTAGCTGTGGGATGGAGCTCCCTGTCGGGGGGCTGCACATGCCTGGGGGGGTTGCATGTGCGGTCATGCCTGCCCCGGCCCTGGGGCCCAGCACAGACAGCAGCTCAGAGCACGGCCTGGCAGCTCTTTGCAGCCCCCTCGCTGCTGAGCTGGGAGCGAAGGGGGCTGCTTGCATGAGCCCCGTGCACCCCACATTTCCCCTTTCTGGTGCCCCCCAGGTCCCATTTCCTCAAGGGATGCCTGACTTGGGGTCAGGGGATGGGGCTGAGCCTGCAGAAGCATGCCACGAGCCTGGGTGGGCTTGCAGGGCCCCTCACTTCCTTGCAGGCCTGACCGCAAGGCGTATGACTTCCTAGATAAGAGGCAGGAAGGTGCAAGTCAGCGTTTCCAACCGCGGCAGGGGAGCAGGGCTGTGGCTGTTGCTCGACGTGCTCTGCAAGCTCAGGGAAGGAGCAGAGCAGGCGGGGCTAACCCGGTCTGTGACCCCTGCCTTGGCCTTGGGCCCAGCTGCTCCCAACCTTGGTAACCTGCCCTCCGAGGGCATGAGCCCATCCACACGGCTGTCTGTGCTGCCCCTGTTTCTCTACCCCTGTCCTAGGGCCTCTTGTAGGCAGGGTGCATGGCCTCGCTGGGCCATCGCATCCAGCTGCTGCTCCCAAAGACCAGGCCATGTCCGCCCTGCAGCCAGGAGCCCAGACGAGGAATTGCCTGGGCAGGGGCCCTGTGCTGAGTGCTGCTGGCCTGGGCTGTGGGACTGGGCCCCACCAGGGGCTTCCATCTTGCTCTGTTCAGAATTCGGCAGCAGTAGAGAAGATGGATTCTGCCTCGTGGCTCATGCAGCGCCCTGAGGTCCTGGCCGTGGTCCCTGACAACACTCTGGGTTCTGGCCCAGGCCATGATGATGCTCGCCTGCTGCAGCCAGGTGGAGCAGACGCCTCCCGACTGCGCCACAACAGGAAGCGCAGCAGCTGTGAGCCAGCGGGTCAGCCAGGGGTGTGCTGGCCAGGGGCGGGACCCAAGGAAGAGAATGCAGCCCCAGCCAGCCAGCCGCAGCATGACCGAGGGGTGTCTGGGTCTGGATCACATGCCTGCTGCGCTCCAGCCAGCTCTGGGGCCAGGGAGGGCCAGGCTGCCCTTGCAGCTGGCTCCCTCGCTGAGCTGGTGCTGGGCGAGGTGTGCACACGTGTGTGTAGGGTCAGTACATGCAGATTTCCCTGCTCTCTGGGAAACCCGGGAGTGATGCTCGAGCCCACAAGGAGGGTGGGACCTGCCTGTGCCACCTGCTCTGGAGACCACATGCCCGCCCACCTGCCCACAGGGACTGAGGCCAAGGCTCCCACACCCACACTCCTCTGTGCAGTGAGGGCTGGGCTGCTGCCCCAGAGTCGCCAGCCTCCCCGTGTGCTGCCTAACTCAGGGCTGCTCTGCCACCATGGCTGCAGTGCCGAACTGTGCCCTGGTGCCTGGCACTGCCAGGCACGGAGAGACCCGGTTCCTGCCGCTCTGGGGTCACCTTCCCTGTGTGCCTAGCTGTTCTGCAGGGCCAAGCACACCCGCAGCTCTGTGCTGAGCCAGGATGGGGGCTGGCATCCTCCCCTGCATCTGTTGCTGTCAGCCAGTGATGTGGCAGGGCAGATGCGGCGGAAGGGCGATTCTGCCCAACGTGGCTCTGCCTCCAGCAGCCGCGGCTGTCTGGCATGCCAGGCAGCGATTCATCCCCATGTGTAACGTGGTCTCCTGGATGGGGCTGGAAGCCTTCGGAGCATCGTAGCTGCGGCCCTGCCATGAGCTCTGCAGGGCCCTGGTGCACGGAGCCCCTGGCTGGTCTGTCCCGCCGCACCGAGACCCGGCTTCGGCCTTCCTGCCGTGGGGCAGGGGACGGCCTCAGCAGGCAAGGACGGGACCTCCCCAAGCGGGAATTCGCCTGGGGAGGCGCTCGCTTCCTGGCCCCTCCTGTGGTGCTGACACATGTCTCTGGCAGGTACCACGACCAGCAGGACGTCACCAGCAACTTCCTGGGTGCCATGTGGCTCATTTCCATCACCTTCCTCTCCATTGGCTACGGGGACATGGTCCCTCACACCTACTGCGGCAAGGGCGTCTGCCTCCTCACCGGCATCATGGTAAGGGCGCTCGTTCCTGGGCCTCCAAGACCTCCTGGCCACCATCCCCCAGCTCTCTGAGCCCCATCCCCGTGGCCAGGCTGCACTTCCTGTGCTTCAACTCAGCCCGATGCTGCCGTGGGAGGCGCTGGTTCCCCCGGGCCTGCTGGGCTTGCAGGGCACCTTCTCCGTCTTTGTGCCTTTCCCTGGGGTGTGAGCGCCACCCCCAGCACATGCACACGCACATGCACACACACATGCACACGCGGGCCCCAGCCAAGCCGCCCCCTCCCCTGTGCCTCCCTGATTGCAGCGATTATCACAAGTGCAGTAATTAGCAGTTGGAGGCAGGCCTTGCCACGGGGTTGCCATGGTGACCGGGGAGGCCGGGCTGGGCCTGCGTGGGGTTGCGGGTGTTTCCAGTCCGGGTGCTGTGATTAGCCCTGGGGAGGGGAGCACGGGGCTGGGGGGGAGCATGTAGCTCCGGTTTCCCTTCACTCGCTGTGGTGTGAGGAGACCAGGGCCCTGGGGCTGCACGGTGCGGCTGGCCTCAGCTGCGCTGGAGCTACTGCAGCTGCTCGGGGCCTTGTGCGGCAGCTGGGATGGCTCCACGCCCCCTCGTTCCTCCAGCGGTCGGCCCCCTCCTTGCTTGCCGCCTCCAGCTGGACGGATCCCAGCCACAAATGTGGGTCAGGGCGAGGAGACAGCGGGGCAGGGCGCTATGCTCTGGGTGCCCCAGGAGAGCCCATCTCTGCTGGACACTAGCGACAGGGGCGAGCAATAGGGAGGGAAGCAATATTTCCCTCCCCAGCAGCCTGACAAGGAGGCCGTTGGTGCTGGGCAGGGCCTTCCACCCACTGCAGCTGACAGGCCTCAGCCGGCCACTCTGCACCAGAGAAGGGGCTGCTGCCTGCACCCCACCAGGGGCCGGCCGGTCGTGGGTGGGCTGGGGGAGCTGCTGGGTCAACACGACTGGACAGCAGTACCTTGCCCCTCCCTGCCCCAGAGCCTCTGCCGAGGGCCTGATGCAGCTCCGGTCACAATGGTGGGATTCAAACTCGTGCCTCCAGGGAGCCTCCGACCTGAGTCTGTGGCTCCCAGTGGGCACCCACCTACACTGAGATCAGGCTGTAGCTGCTAGTTCGCACCCCAAGCGAGCCCGTGCCAGGAGCTCTGAATGTGGAGGGGCCATGCAGAGGTGGGTAGAGGCATGGCACCAACAGCAGCATTAATTAATGACTCATTAATGAGCAAAGGGAGGCTTCCCAAGGTCACCAGCCTTTGCCAGGAGGGAGCTCTGCAGTGCCACAAGAGGGACCAGCCATGCATGCCCATGCATACTTATGCAGGGCCGTGCATGTCTGCACACGCAGCTGGGAGCTGGCAGTCCCTTGCCTTCAGCACCTTTTGTTGCTTTCCAGACCTCTCTACTGCAAACAGCAGTTCCCACCCAGGTGGCCCCATGCCAAATGGGGCATCTCCTGGCTCCAATGGGCGTGGACTAGAAAGCAACTACCAGCTATCACAGTTCAGGGGAGCAGGAGGGGGCAAGACAGGGATGATTCACGTGTTTCTGCTCCCTGGAGCCTCTTGGCATGGCAAGTGTGTGGTTGACCTATGCCAGAGTCACCAGAAGTGGGGAGAGGGCCCTGATTAGAATAGAGTGTGCAGAGAACCATCCCACAAGGCTGCCAGCAGGGCCAGGGCCTTAGTCCCATTTCACAAATGAGGAAACTAAGGCAGTCTCCTGCTCTACATCTCACAACTGGGAGCAAGGCCTTGAGGGAGCAGTGGCAGGAGCCCTGCCAAACTGCCGTGGGCACTGGGCTGGTCAGTCCTGTTCCTGGAGGGCCATGGGGAGGGGCCTTGGTGCTGACAGGCAGCTGGTTCCC